ATCTTGATTTTAATTAAAACTCACTTTATAACAATGGAAGACATTGCAGACTGGTCGATTATTCTCTTAGTTATCTTATAGGATTAAAAATGTAGCTGATTAATGTAAGCATGAAACATGATAAATGTAGCTCTTGGTTGCACATAGGCATGAGTGGGTGCCTGTGGCTCAGTATCCTTGGGGAAGACACTTAACCCCAAGTGTATGAGTGGGATTAGTCACTTCTGACTGTCACTTTACATAGAAACCTCTGCCATCAGTGTGTGAATCGGTGTGAAGTGTAAAAGAGTTTTGAGCAGTCAGATGACTAGAAAAGTGCTATATAAGCTCAAGTCCATTTACCATTTGCTCGTGTTGATGTTTTCATGAAGAGTCACCAGAGTCTGCCCGTATGAAAGTGAACTTTGAGTTGACTTAAAAAAACAGAAACTAAAGTAAAAATCTTAATTCTAGAGAAACACCTCGTTACGCTGCTCTATTGGATAGATGACAGTTTTAATAACTTTGATCACAGTACGTCGAAAACCTCCCCAACACACCTGTGTGTGCAACCATGGAGAAGTATCACAGGTATCTGTGTACTGCATCTATAGCCCACAAAAGGTTAGCTGTAGGCAGTCAACAGCTGACTGTCAAATCAAGTACAAAAACAAGTTTAATGAAATGGTATAGGAACACTATTTTAAACTCGATGGTACTCATACAATGAAATGATAGCCTAATAATAACATAATAACTATTAAATATTACATTTAATTTTCTTTCCAATGTTCAAATAAAGTAGGTTTGTATTTGAAAAAAACAAATAACATAACAGACAGCTCTTGAAAAGGGTCGATTAAAATGAAGGAGGCCACTTAAATAAATAATAAATAAATATAAATATAAATAAATAAATAAATAAATAAATAAATAAATAAATAAATAAATAAATAAAGATAAATAAAATAAAAGGTGTGCTTTCAGTTTCTACTGTTACTTTTTTAGATGTTATTTCTACTTCTTAAAATATAAACAATATACATGTCACTCATAAATGTCAACATCTCCTTTTCTTCCTTTTTTTAGTTAATAATTTTCAAAACCATTTTAATAATATACAAACCAAACATATATAAATAATTCAAGTGCTTCTGTCTTTCTGTCCCTTTTGTAATCCACTCACCGTCCTTTTCTTTTCCTTTTGTGTTAGGTCTTCATAGGTCAACTTTTCTTCTTGGCTTCTGGTCAAATTCTCTGTGCGCCAGTGTCTTTTTGTTTTTTCTGGTGTTTGGAATTTTTTGTTGGACCTTGTTACTTTTGGAATTTGGACTTTGTTCAGAAAGACCGTTTTTGTTTTGCCTTTTTCTGTTTTGGGTCCTGTTCTTAGTTTTCCATAGTACGTGACAAAATCAACTTAAAGGTTACATTGTTGGCAGGTTGTTGGTCAGGATTGTGGGGGCTGTGTCTTCTTTTTGTCAAGTTAAAAGCACACCATGTCTACCTGATACTTGAAGATTACATAGCTAAAAAGCTATAGCCTTCTCCAGTTAGGCCCTTGGAGTTAACAACACTGAGAAGATGGCCTTACACTCTCCTCATTCACTCACTCTACCACTCACACACGTGCACTGAGCTATTCACAAAAACTTAACTACTTTTTTTGCATCTAAATCAACAGGCCGTTGAATATAATCATTTGCTGTCTAAAGAGTTTGCAGGGTCAGGAGGATATGTGTATAAATGTGTTTGTGTGTGTAGCTGGCAATTGTATTTGCAAGTACTGGAAGCAGCAAAGTGTGTGGGAGGAACACAACGTTTTTTTCTTTAATGGCAAACAAGTCTCTCTCCCTTACTTTTAATCCACTTTTTATATGAACATATCTCTGAAATACACTCAATGTTTAAAGTGATCATTATTGATATCACTTAAAAGACAAACAGGTATGTAATCCCACTGTCCACAATATGTACCTTTTACTATAAAGACTTGTGTTTACTTTTTGTTTAGACCAGAGGGATCAAGGTGAACAGATGCAGAGCCTGGATTGTGGGGGCGTTAAACTGGAACTAGAAGGTTAGACAAGGACAAACACACGCCCACTCTATCTGTCATCATTGTATGTGTGGAGTGCTATGAAGGCCCAGAGCTAAAGGATGACTGACTGTGCACTAAATAGCTTCAAAGAAAGCTTTTCCTTGCCATTGCCACTGTAACTTTGCAAAATCTTGCCAAGCCATTTGCTCATGGTGGGTTAATGTTGGGATTTGTAAAATAATGAAATAAAGTGTTTGATCTAGTCCTACTTTTTTTTGTAAAGTGTCTTGAGGTAACATTTGTTATAAACTGGAATTGAAATACTGAAGCTTGTTCTGGTATTTAATATTTGTTACCTCTGCTCTTTGTTTTTTTTGTCATGTTCAGGTTAGATTTCTTGGGTATTTCAAAAGTTTACTCATGCTTTGTTAAGGTATATTGTTAATTTAGAAAAGATGTGTTGTTTCATTTTGTTTATTATTCTTTGTCTTTGTTCTTTCAATCAAAGGATTAGTACTTCTATCCCTTATTTCCTTTAAGACGTGTGAGCTCCTTGCCTTATTTTTAACACTGAGCCTAGCCACTCTACATCCACACATTGCATCAGCATCGGCATTCTTTTAGGTCACCACCTAGAGATAGTTGAACTCCTTTGCTTTGCAGTAACTCACTCCCACATAAGATGGAGGGCAATTCACTTTTTTCACACTAAGAACCCAGACTCTAGGTCCAAAGACACTTGCTTGACACTGGCATCTTACCAGCTACATTTCCCCAACATTTTTTCTGCATACACAAACTTCTAAAATGGAACTTATCTGTCCCAGATATTTGGACAGGCATGTTTGTCGCTCTGTAAAGGCAAAGACACGTCAAACATATATGGATAATTGTGGTCTCTTTCCATTAGCTTGATTGTCTTACAACATACATACTAGGGCAACTTTGGGTCACAGTTTGATGAGGCCAACAGAACCACATCATCTGCAAAATGCAGAGTTGCAACTTTGAGGTCCCCAAAACTGGAAACTCTCCAAGCTGAATGCGCCTGCAGTTCCTGTAATATTAAAATCATGAACAGAACAGACAAGGGTTAGCGCTTGTGGGGCTAGCAGCCAGTCCAAATTAATTTGAATTTGTACCAAGGATTTGAACACAGCTCTCACTTTAGTTATACAGTAACTGAGTTGCTCAAACAGTGACAGGCGCAGTGCTCCCATACGCAATTGTAGTCCTTCTCTAAGACCACAACTCATGTAGTCTGGATTAGCAAAACTCCCATGACCCCTGAAAGGATAAATTAGTCCACTCTTTCATGGCCAGGGTGGAATCTCTTTTGTTCTTCCTGTTTTTTTGAGGTTGGAAAATTTTTTTTGCAGCACCCTCGTAAATAACCTTTCCAAGGAGCCTGTGAAGTGTGATACCCTAAAAGTGAAGAAGACCCTTTTTAAATTAAAAAAAGGGAAAAAACAACCCTAATTTCAACTCTACATACATTGTCCCGGACCTCTAAGTGATGTTTACTATGAGCATGGATCTTCTTAACGTTTCTGCCTGTTAAAAGAAAGTTTTTCTTGCCACTATTGTCAAATCTTGCCAAGAACTTGCACGCTGTGTCTCTTTAAATAATCAGAATCAGAATCAATTTTATTGGCCTGGTATGTTCACACATTCAATGAATTTGACTTCAATGTACAAAAGTACAACTTTAATACATTGTATTTTGGCCATGTCATCAACCTCCCCCAGGATGTACAAAACATTCTTTCAAAGTATGAGTTCATAATTTTGTGTACAGGGGCGTCCACCTGAAGCTTCTTTGCAAGTGCATGTCCACCATTTTGGTAGGCACCCTTTCCCTCCACATGATCCAACTTAAACAACATGGTGATCAATTAACAGCACTGCACCATTCTGAGTGTCCGAGTATAACGAACAGAGATCAGATGATAAGACAATTAAGTAATTCATCTTTGGCCCAGGATGACCTGGTACCAAGTGCACAACCAATCACTCTATGCTCAAATATGGTGTTTAATATGGACAATTTCTAACTATGTTGTGTCCAATAACATAGAACTACTTGGGTTAAGATTGGGCGGGCTGTTCCTTTTAATCAGTCCACTTGAGGTGTCTCTATTGCCAAGGAATGCATTGAAGTCCCAAAAACAAAGCTATAGCAGTCCCCCAGGAAACTCCAAGAAGGCAGAGCCTTCCTTTATTATGACTTTCAGTCACAGAGAGAGGACCCTCTTTTTCCCAACTCCAACACAGAAAAGCACAAGTTTGGGGTATCCCCACACTCACCAAGTGCCTTTCACCTTAGGAAACTCTGGAAAAGGAGAGTCTAACCTCTTCTTAGGAGTTTGGTTCCAGAACGGTCTGGGTTGTAAGCCAAACTATATCCAGCTTGTAATGCTTCATCCTCTGCACCAACTGTGGTTTCTTTCCCTCAAGGGAGGTCAGATACCACTTTTGAGATGATCACAATAGGTAAAACATAATTTTCTCATTCATTTAGTATTTTTTGTTTACGATGTTATGATTCAGATATGGGAGTGAGAGCTTTTTATTAACTTTCAACTTTTCATCAGTTTATTTTCTCAGCAGTACTGGGCCTCTGTGACGTTGAGAATTAAGGATTTTCAAAATAATGATTCCAGGTTCCTTTGAGTAATCACAGAGCATATTGACTTAAGACTGTGGCATTGTACCTTTTAAGATTCTAATCACTAAATTACTGTAAGAAAAATATAAATTAGTTTCTTCGTCCCATGTCCTCCAGAATGCATTCCCAGTCAAGTATTTAGCTGTGTAAAACCAACGCGTCCATCAATATCGAAAAAAAAGAGTCTCATGGACACTCTTATTTTTACAATTTGTGTTACCAAACATACATAAGGCATAATCAGTTCAGGGTTGATTATTAACCAGCCAACAGGGGGGCGGCAGTTGTTGAGTTCAGGCACTACGCTGTCTAGCCTTGTGAAGGTGCACTTTATCTCTCTTTTCTCCTATTTTATTCATCTCATCTTTGTACCCTTTTGCTTTTTTAACTTGTGACTCCACATCACACAAACCAGGTGAGTTCAGATCAGTCTTTAATTTAACTTTTTTTATTTGCATTTTGATTTTCAATCACTTTGAATGTTGCTTAAATAATCAGTTGTATAAAAACGTATAACAAGCTATTGTTTTGAATTACATGTAGAAAGAGAGGATACAACTTCACAGGTCCTACAATAATTGTGTATATTGGCATATATGGTATAGTGTTTAACAGTAGTTTGTGTAGTTTTGTGTATTCATTGCTTTGTGTATTTAGTGTATTGCGGACAAGCCAAAAAAGAGTCTGTAACCTTTAGTCTGCTGGTAAACACAGCAGCCATATCTGAAACCTCAAGTGACTTTAAACATACTAGATGGGAAAAAATGGATGCATGAACAGAAAACAATGCAAAATGGTGTCTAACGTGTCAATTTTCTTTGACGGATTTTCTGATATGCATATTTAATCAGATAACTTTACCCTTTCTTGGAACCAATTTGAAAAAGTTAGCTCCTGTATTCCCCGAACTGTTACTGTAATGTTGGAAAATGGCAACCTATGGTTGTCCGAGTATTTGATTTCAGTTGGTCTTTTTTTGTGTGAATAGAACTACCTTTTACAGAAAAGCCCTCTGAAGCTACTGAAGCCTAATTAACCACCATTTCTTTCTTGCTTTCAGTTGATGTTTTTAAACTGACACACTCAAATGGTTTTTCTCTTTGTTTTTCAGGCTGGTTATTTGGAAATGAAGCTGTATATTCTACTTGTCTTACTTTGTCTCTGCATTATGGGACTGACTGTAAGAACCTTAATTGTATACTGTATTCATTATTTGCCTTTATGTAACTGTACTCATCAGATATCGATAACCGTGCCCGTCATATTTTCAGGAAGACCCCAGTCCAGGAGCTCCTGAAGTCTTCAGTCCTTCAGATGAAGAGGAGGAAATGGAAAAGGATGTTCAGAATTGTAGTGGACAGTGGCTGTTTAGTTCTAAGGAACGAAGGGCCATAGGGGGCGCCATAGAGCGATTGGGTTTACAGCTGCTGAAAAACCTTCCTGTTGATCAACAGCAGCCAAATATAATCTTATCGCCTCTCAGCTTGGCCTTTGCCCTTGCCCAGCTCACTTTAGGTCAGTATATATACACTTTATTTTGCATAAGAAAATAATTGATGATCAGTTCAAAACTTTGTCATCCACAACTAAAATTCACTGGAAGTCTAAAATTAAACTTCAGAATTCCTTTTTTTGTATACCTGAGGCTAAAACGCCCTGAAGTTGAGCTAAGTCTGGTTTTATCACTGAATTTAAGCAAGGGTAAACTTTTGAATGGACAGCATGACCTTTACTCTCGTATCACGCTCAAACAAATCTAAATACATGTAGAGCAACATATTGAATGGCCTGTTCAAATTTGTTGCATTCATCCTTCACCAGCTGTTGCAGTGCATTCCTTGAAGATGATTTGCTCAGACTATTTTTCCTCTCAGGTGCCAGAAATGAGACAGAAAAGCTGCTGCTGAAGAGCCTCCATGCAGACAGTCTGCCCTGTTACCATCATATACAGGGGGGCCTTCTACCTCATTTCAGAAACACATCTTTGGAGGTGGCAACACGCATGTACCTGAGACCTGGTGTGTGGTGATAAATCTGGTGGTGGTTTGAGACTAGGTGTTTTTGGATCAAGATTGGGTCATTGATCAACTTTTCAATTTTCTCTCTCTTTTTTCAATCTCCCAGGATTTGAAGTGAGGCTGTCTTTTGTTGAGGAGTCTCTGGCCAGGTATCAAATACAATCAGACAAAACACAAATTTGTTTGATGCAGTCACTAACAGTTAAAGAAATCACAGTTTTAACACATCTGAGTTGGACTAAAGTGGTTGATTTCCCCATTGAATTATCAAGGTAGTGGCTTGGCTACAAGTTAAGACCCAAATTTTCAAGATTACTCAAAACAGTTTTTACTCTAACAGGTAGCAACAGAAGCTTGGCAACCATAATTAGGCACAAACATGCATGCAAAGGGCAGGAAACTTGCCAAACTGAGAAGATCATAAACCTGTAAGAAATGGAAAACTGGCTGACAAAGAGATTGAATGACAATTAATACTGGAGAGCAAATAGGTAGATGGGAAACAGCTGTTGGCACCAGTAGATCAAGTGTGGATTTAGCTGGAAAATTCTCCAGTGAAAGCTGATGAGAATAAGAATAACTTGGTTTGAAAAAAAAAACAGGATGATATGAGATGATATCAAGATTATATGTGGAAGTAGGCAGAAATAACATACTTCATAGGTACTTCTTGTAAAGAAATTTTGCTAATTAAAATCAACACAGAGTGTCATGATAAGATGATGGACCAATAGGTGCTGCCAGAACATCTTCAATGCTCCTTGACATTGATGAACAAGTATCTGAACAATACTTAAGGAATGAAACATAAATCTCCCAAAACATATTCCCTCATTTAGGGAGATTTGTTCTTATTTTTCCTTCTAACAGTCCAGCTGGCCTGGACTATGACAGCAAATTGCCCACTTAAGCATTATAAAACCACATAATCTGTTTACACTAGGGATTAAGCATCCAGGTTCATCCCTTAATTAGTAATATGTATGTTTTGTACAAAATGATATGTTCCAGCATGCATCATGTTTAATGTGGAAGTAAAAAGACTTGTTTTTCTGTTCAGATACAAATCACGACCTGTCCCTCTGGTTGATGTGGAGGAGGTCAACCAATGGGTAGAGAACGCTACCCATGGTCACATACCTAACTTTCTGGAAAGTATCCCACATGATGTGGTGCTTATGCTAATGAATGCAGTCTACTTCAAAGGTGAACCATTCTACCAAAGACAATTCAAGACTGGAATAACACAAAAATGTATACTAAAGTTGAGACCAAGTGACCAAGTCAGATGTTTCAGCAGTAATATGAATGCCCAGAGTTTAAAATCGGATGATCAATTTTTCATTTAAATGAAATCTTAACGGTCTACCTCCTTAGTTGATTTGCTAATGTCAGTAGTACTATTAGTGGAGAAGTCCAAAGTAAATGTATTATACAAGTAAGTGTAGGGCCAGTGCCACTTTAGAGCCCCTACTTGAGCAGATCCTTGTGGTCCAGATACCTTTTTTGGTTTCAGAATGCTGAATCCTGAGCCTTAGGCCTAGCACTCTACACAACTTCCTAAGCCTGTGTAACTGCAACTTTGAGTTGCTGTCCATCTATCTACTGTTTTGGGAATATAAATGTGTTGCCTGCTGTCTTTTTAAAAGGCATTTTGGGGCAATTTTCTTTTTATCTGTCTCAGTGTATAGAGACTCAAGATACATGAGGATCGAAAAAGCCATTTACATTGCAAGTTAATTAGGATGCCCCTGAACAATAAGACAATTTCCCCCAATGCTAACTTTCATTTTAGTCACAAATGGCTTGCCAGCTAGCACAAACAGTCCTTTTTGTCCTTAGTGTCCATGCCGGCCCAATAAAAGATAAGTCTAAGTGGGTTCAGCTTAACCCCTCTCTGAGCCCATCTACAATTGAAGCCTAACCAGGTTACGCCTATAAAAGGCTGATATTCATGTTAACTTCACATTGGAGGTCAAGGTGTGACCCAAAAGCACAACATCATCAGCAAAAAGCCACATGCCACACCAATGTCATTAGACCTGACACTAAAACCAGGGCAGCACCTTTATATTTGGACATGAATTCCAAACAGGTGAGGTGGTAAGTTCTATTAAGGCTTTACCTTGCTGTTTTACATTCCTTTGTGCATGTTAGGTGAATGGCAAACAAGATTTGACCCCCAAGCGACATCAAAGGGAATTTTCTATCTGGACAACCAGAACTCGGTGTCAGTGGATATGATGAAGTCGGCCCAGTACCCCCTCCGTCTGCTGGAAGATCCAGAACTGGAAGCAAAGGTAACACCAGCATTATTTTGGACATCAGTAGTGTGCACATTTTCCTTTACCACAAACAGTGTCCAGAATCTTCTTGAGGCTTTATCAAACCAAGCTAGAGCTTTGTCTGCAGTATAAACAATCATTCCTAATCAAAAACAGAAGCTAAAATGACACGGACAACAAAATGTTACTTACAGATTGACACCAGCACCTTAAACAATTTGCCTGCAAACAACATTGATTAGCCGGCCAAATTTAAGACAGTGGGAGGAGCCGAGTATAGCTAAGTATAGCATAACTATAGCTAACTTTACAAACTATAGCTGTCTTGTAATGGTCTTCTCTGAAGTTCTTCTCTTTTTGGAATAGGCTGCATAACTTAATTTAACTATACAAACTCTAGTTGTATTGTCATGGTCTTTTCTCAAATTCTTCTCTTTTTTGAAAAGGTTGCCAGTTTTCCCTTCAAAGGAAACACCAGCCTCTTAATCGTCATGCCCTTGCCCGGCGGAAGAAACGTGACATCTGTTCTACCAGAACTGAATATTTCCGACCTTTACAAACGTCTACCTCAGGAGAAAACAATGCAGGTCAACTTACCTAAGGTGAAGCTGCAGTACCGCAAGGAGCTAGAGGAAGCACTGACCAAAATGGGTAAGCTTCACCAATATTTTAATCTCAATGCTTAGCATCCACACTATTACAGCACTCCTTTAGTGCAGACGTTTGAAATCCTGATGACTTCATTTTAGTTTTTCAACTCTGGATCAGATTTTTAAAAAGATTGCATTTATCTGCCCCTTAAACATGTGCAAATGAGTCAAAAATACATCATCAAATATACACAAAACACATGCAAGGGTTACGTCTCTCCTTACTGTGCTGCAGAGAAAACAGCTTCTCTGTGTGCTGGTGCTGTTTGCGCTTATTTAAATACACTATCATGCAGTCATCTGAGGAAAAATGTGCCCCTTTCTAAACAAATTAGTCTCATTGCACAAAAGTGTCTAATTCAACAACACTGGTGCTGACAGCAGTCAGAGTGAAACATTATTGTCTGCTGAGAGTTGGTGGTACCTATACTGCAGTATTTATAAGGGAATTCAAATGCAAACGGATATCAGGAAAGCAATCCCAATTCTACATGTCTTAAAAATTAATTATCTGTAAATACAGTATGTAAATATGAATCAAACATTACTATGATTATAGTACAACCAGGGTTTTAATCAGTCTGGGTTTGTCAGCGGCTTGTCACTTGAAGCCATTTCGCATATCAAAAATGCGTGAGTTGTTTTTTTTCCTTGTTTTGCTCCATTCAGGGCAGAAGCTTTGTTTTGAATGGTGAAACTCACACCCACATTCAGATGCAAGAAAATAAAAAACTCCATGGAGCAAGACAACTTTTTGGGAGTGTTTGCACTGAATATCATAAGCACTATATGATTCGTGAATTATACCTGGAGATGCAGCTATCAAGCACCAGTAACTCATTTTTGATTCATGAATCAGACCATCTGTTCTGCCCATACACATGAAAATAAAATCATAGATACCCATTGGTTGAAACTTTCCTGCATTATTTCTCCTTTTTGGTTCTCTCTCAGGCCTTGGTTCTCTGTTTTCGGGTCCAAACCTTTCTGGGATTTCCGACCACCCACTGAAAGTGACAGGTGTCCGCCACGCCAGCACCGTAGAACTCAGCGAGGAAGGCGTGGAAGCGTCTGCCACCACTGTTATAACCTCCATGCGCTCCGTTTCTCTCTTCTCAGTCAACTCCCCTTTCCTCTTTGCACTCGTCGATGACGCCACCCTGACCCCGCTCTTCATGGGCATTGTTACAAACCCCGCCCCTGACAACAACCCAATGCCCAGTGATGATCCCCATGTTGGGAATGGCACCCTAAGCGACCAATCTGTGACAGAGAATGTCAAAAGAGACATTAATAACGATAACAGCAACAGATCATGCAGTGAAATAGATCCAGTAGACGGCAGCAGCGTGCAGTCATGTAGCGCCCCCACTGGTGACAGGGAGTAGCTGCAGCATGAAAAATGGACTGGAGAGCAGTGACAGGAAGAAGAAGTAAATTGATATGAAACCTGTTTCAAGTCAGTCAACTGTACCTGCCCAAAGCTGAGAAATATAATTTTTACATTTTGCAAACATGATTGTTGGCCTTTTGCAAAGAGTTGAAAAAAGTTGATACCCCTCTCATGTCTGTCAGGTTCATATTAAGCTACAGCACGCAACTGGAAAGACTAGCATTAAGACCGGACACAGGTAAACCGCTCGCTTGGCTCTGCCCAAAACATAATATGCCTATCAGCACCTCAACAGCTCACTTTTAAATCAATCTCTTTATTTTGTTTTTTTCTGTAAAAAAATAAATTAATAAATACATTGGGAAAAGTGTTTGTGTTTTTTGAGGGGTACTATCATATCTTTTTGTTTTTAACCATGAACTGAAGAAGTGGATGTGGCCACTGGGATGTTACCCATTTGTTTATGCTTTTGCATATAAGTTTCCATCCTGGTTTTTGTAGTCAGATGGTACGATATTAATAAATTAGGTGGTTGATTTTATTGCTATGCAAAAAGTCTAAAATAAAAAGTATCAGGTCACAGCAAGTTATCAATTATGTTTTGGCCATTTCGAGACCAGGGAAATCAAAATATTTTTTGAAATAGTTGGTCAAGTGCAAGTATGTTCTTTTTCTCAGAGACTTACAATACAAGCAGTCAAATTTTTGCAACCATTAACTTGGACATGGAATTAGTCTCAGTGACGTTCCCAATTGGTTTCTGAAAAGGCATTATGAAGCCCAGCGATATCACATAATGCCAAGGAGGGTCTTAAGCCTTCAACACACCCACCTGGCGGTCAACTCAACCAGGCTCAAATTTATGTCACACTCTTGGTCTTTTTAAAATCAAAACGGATGCGAAAAAAAAAAAAAAAAAAACCTTCTGTAGAGTTTCTTAGAATAATTAAGACCAAAACAGTTTTTTTAACAAGACTGTAAACCTGTTTTTTTCAAATGTAAAGTTAAAATGTAAATGTTAGTCCTATTGGAAGTGCAATTTTTTCTACAACCCCATTGACTTCATTCTTTAATCAATCAATCAATTGCTAAACTAATCAGTTAATCAATTGGTATAGCACAAATTTTTAACAAATGTTATCTCAAGACACTTTAAGAAAGAGCAGGTAAAAGACCTTACTCTTTTTCATATTATCTACAAAGACCCAACACTAATCCATCATGAGCACAGCACTAAGTAACACAGGAGGTTGCAGTTTGTGGAGTTGCCTCCTGTTGGCCATTTGTAGGAATGCAGGTATGCAATATTTTCACTTTTTTTTAGACCCAGAGGCTTTGTCATCTTTCTTATTTACAATCTTCACACAGTGACTTTATATCTGTTTTATAGAACTTGCCAGGTTACAAATAAGAACCCTATAATATATATCTGTTAAGTGTTGTGCGAAAGCTTTTTCTTCCTATGGATTACTTTGAAGGAAGTTTTCAATTTAGACGTTGATTCATGCATAGAAAAATATAACGCAGAAATAAACCAGTCAAACACTAAATAAATAGAATTTCAATTATTCTAAGGGGCTCTTGATTAAAGGTATAATATGTGTAATTTCATTAGAATGTTTATATTTAAATATCTATAAATGTAACATATAATGTATTAAATATTGACTAAACCTATGTTTAAAGTCAAGTCATCATTAAGTTTCAGGATCTCATGAGGACTTTCTCGTGGCACCTGTAGGACCTGTCAAAGAATAAATTTAATCCAGTTTAAAAGGAGAGATTTTTAAACAATTTACTTTAACAATGAAAATGGAAACGGTCAGAACAGGGGAAAAGGTGAACGAGTATCAATTCATGACCTACACTGGGATTGGTAAACCTTAATGTCTGGGTTTCCTAAACGTCACAGCCTGCTTATTACCTGTCCTGACCTCTGTCTCTGTCTGTATATGGAAAGATTTTGTTTCATCTTAATCCAGCAGCGTCTGTCTGTCTCGCGCCGCGCGCCCCCGGTGCTCTGTTGGCAGCAGCGGAGACGCGCGCGGCTGAGAGCTAAGATCCAGGAGGCGTCAACGGGGTGAAGACTCGTTTCATCGGCAGAGAAAGAGAGAGAACTATAGACTGAACCAAGTGGAGTGTCCGAGAGCAGAGAGGTGAGTGCGCTTTAATTGTAATTTTCCGCTTTTACGCACAACTCTAGATGATTGGTTTTCAGTTAATGTAAGGTTAATTTCATGCTACAAGATGTGCTGCAGTTAAAGCTGCACATCCGACAAAAATTATGCAAAAAAGTGAAACATACTTTTGAACCTGCAGAAAATTCTCTTTGTTACTGATTCATCGTGCACATCTCCCAGAATTTTGATATAAAGCCTTTTATTATTATTTTACACTAAGACCATGCTGTCTGACACACTGATTGTGTTTCCACTCAGTGAGGAGCTTTTTTGCACAAAGCAACCTTTTCCAGAGTTCAGAGTTTCCAAGTCAGCTCAGCTCTGTGCCAACAAACGCACAGTCAACTGCATGTTTCCATCCAACAGTTTATATAATAGTTCTGACTTCTCAGCAGGTACGTGGAGCAGCAGCAAGGCCAGCCAAAATCGTTACCCATCAGATTTTAATAAGTTTAAAACTAATCTATAATATCTCTAATGAAAATATGGAATTCTGTATTTTTTTTATCAATGTTTGTTAGGTTGCTACAGGGGTTATTCAGGGTTTTGAAGACTTTGGTGCCAAGAACATTTCTGCACTTGTTTGAATAATTTTCAGGTTGTGACCTGCAGATATGATATCAGGGAGTTGATGAGCAGCCAATCAGAAAACATTCCTCTTAGTATCAAGTTTCTGCAGGAAACTGTGTCTGCTGCAGGACTCTACAGGTCTCTCCATCAGGGCTGCTCAGACTCCAGACACCACACAGATTCAAACAGTTATTACTTTAATCATTTCAGTTTGACTGTTATGATCCACATGAAGCCACTGCTGCTTTTATGGTTTCATATCATCATGGCCTCGGACAATAAACTCATATCCATGTCAGTTAAAAAGGCTGTTTAGTTTGTTAATTTTTGATCATTTTAAAAAAATGGAATGTCAGCTTTTTGCTGCTGTCCTGAAGAGAGAAGTACTGAAAGTTGTTTCTCTTGCTGAAAGAAATTTAAAGGCCATTTCTGATCCCTGTGAGATGTTGACAATTGGAAAGAGCTAATTTTAAGATTTGTACATAGCACAAATAGGATAAAACTGCATATTTGTCCTACAAAAAAAATAAAAATATATGTTGTTGCCTTCATGCTCTAATGAAGATCAGAAGGTTGAGCCAAAACTGCATTCAGGGGCTGCTGAGCGGAGGTGAAACGAACATCAGTTTTACTTTAATTAGATGTTATATTTTTTAGTTTACTTGTCTTATTTTACACTTTAATTTAAAGCTTTCCTTTCCTTCCTCCTTGTTTATCTTTTCCGGTCTGCTTTCTTTGCTCTGAACTGAGACATCTTTGAAATCACCGTTAAAGCAGACTCATGACAGACCCAGGATGAAGTTATATCTCTTTAACATCTCTCGTTATGTTGTAGGGAAACAATTTCTTTGTTGTTCTGTGTTTTTTATTTTTTATTTTTGCAGTTATCAGGCTTCAAAGTCAATAAATGAACAAATGTGTGTTTTCAGAGGTTATTTTGGGACTTTTTATACTTTTACAGTACAGGAGGACAGTGGATAGAGCTCGGAAACTGGGCTGAGAGAGTTGAGAATGACGTGGCAAAGTGCTGAGGGTCGAACCCGAACCCTGGATACCTTCTTTGAGAAATGCTGCCTCTGTACATGACATACATAAAGATAAGCTATCTGGCATCCCAGACATGTGTGTTTTAATGTAATTTTTTAGAGAATTATCATAATCACAACAAATACCATTATTTGAGCATAAAACACTCATCACCTCTTTAGGGGCTTCATTCAGTAAGCGTGGCTGTTCCCACCTGTTTGTCTTCATTCATAAAACCATCTTTTCATTTGCAGTCGATGATTTGAATAACTCTGGAACATGTAGGACTTCAGAGTTTTTGGAGATGATGGAAAGAAAAGATCAGGAGAAGAAAAATGCTCATGATAAACTTTTGGAAGACCCCGTCTGGGTTTCCCATCAGGCTTGCTGAGGGTCTGTGTTTGTGCATGTGTGTATGTGTGTGTGTGTGTGTGTGGGTGTGTGGTCTGAGGAGAGAGTTTTGTTTTGGTGAAACCACGACAACCAGGTCCAGATGTGTGTAGAGGAACAAAAGAGTCATGTCATGTGTGTGTGTGTGGTGTGTGTGTGTGTGTGTGTGTGTGTGTGTGTGTGAGGCTGCTCTTAATTTATATTTTCATTTTCTCTCATGATTACAGGTAAAGCTGTTTCTAAAGAGAAATCTTGGTACAGTAATTAACTGTATGACGCTTTGGGTGTGTGTTCTTTTCTTATGGTCCTGACAGCATCATCTGTTTGTTTAGAAGTCACAGTTGGTGGTGTAATTTTGGCGTCTACCTGCAATTATCCCTAACCCCATTGTTTTAAAAAGATGTGGCTCAGGCTGCCCTCTTTGTCTCCGAATTTGATAGCTTTGCAAACAAACAAAACTGTTTCCCTTTCTTTTTTTCTTACCCTAATGTATGTGTCCATTAAAGGGCCCATATTCTTCTTTTTCTGGTTTTATATGCTCTTTAGTTTGTTTTCCAAGTGTCCTGTACATGTTTAGGCACATCTATTTGCAAAAATTCAAAGTCCGCGAAAACACGGCTTCTCCTACGTCCTCCTGTTAGCTGTAGCATTAGCTGCATGTAACGCTCGGTTCTAGCCCCCCTCGATAAAAATTTGCCAGTGTGACGTCTTGTCAGTGTGAGATCACTGATCTAAGCCCATTGGCTCGTTGTGGCAAGCCCTGCAGCTCATGTTGAAATTTCCGAGAAGCATGCTGAGCAACTGACCAATAACGACAGAGCGGATCAGCAGACCAATCAGAGCAGACTTGGCCCACGTGGGGTCTAACAGTGGGGGCTCAGCAGAGCGTAGCTGACGGACTCAGAGTAGAGGGAGCAAGGAGGAGCAGTACATGACTTTGATAGACATTTTTTTTGGACTTTAGCTATTGTGAACGTACAAAAGTAGTTACATAGATTAAATATACGAACCCCAAAAATGGCATAATATGGGATCTTTAATAATAAGCTTTGTACAGTAAACAGGCCCTCTTAGCTTTATGCACCTTTACGAGGTTTCAGCTCAATCATCTATATAGCAAGAAATAATATTCCTTCTGAGCCTTTAAAACAGGTCTAGACAATATCGGTCCAAGGTCTTCAAGTT